GGTGGCTCACGCCTGTAATCCTAGCTCTCTGGAGGCCAGGCGGGCGGGGGGATTGCTCGAGGTCAGGAGTTCGAAACCAGCCTGTGAGCAAGGAGCGAGACCCCGTCTCTACTATAAATAGAAAGAAACTAAATTTGGCCAACTAATATATGTAGAAAAAATTAGCCGGGCATGGTGGCACATGCCTGTAGTCCCAGCTACTTGGGAGGCTGAGACAGAAGGATCGCTTGAGCCCAGGAGTTTGAGGTTGCTTTGAGCTAGGCATGACGCCACGGCACTCACTCTAGCCTGGGCAACAAAGCGGAGACCTTCTGTCTCAAAAAAAAAAAAAAAAAAAAAAAAAAAAAAAAAATATCAGAGCTGAGTAATTGTAACAGAGACTTTATACCCCAAAAAACAAACAAACAAATAAATAAATAAAAGAACTTTGGTATAGCTGTACATTTCTTTAACAAAGAGTATAGCTGTTCTTTTTTACCCTAGCTTATTTCTTAATTAGTTTACTGGCTGCCTGGCGGAGCCCTTTAATAAATATAGCAAAGAATTTCGGCAGTTTTGGGGGCGTACCATTTAAACTTGTGAAAAGCAGGCGCAGCTGGAAGGCAGAACACCTAGATCCCCCCCCAAATCAAGGATCCCACATTTACACAGAGTTCTGGGTGTAAAGTTTTCTGGCAGCGAAAGAAACAGACAGAGAGAGAGACTGAGGCCAAAGAGTGTGGCTTTATTGTGCACTCCCAGACGAGGTTCTGGGGTCCCAAGAGAGGGGGACCCGAGAAGTCGAGTCCGTTTGGAGGGTGTGCGAGCCTTTATACTGTTTGGGGTGGGCTAGGGACTTTTGGTGGGAAGAGCCAGGGTGCCCTTGGGTGGTCGTGGAGAAATAGGAGGGGCTGGCGGTATTTGCGGAATCCAGGAGCTGAAACTTTCTTATCGGGGTGGACATCTGGGTGTGCTTATCCTCAGCGGGGCCTGGCAGTTTGTCCTTGGTGGGTCTGGTCTCACGAGCCCTATTTTTTTGACCAAGGGAAGGGAGGGGCCCCGCCACCATCCTTGCACTGGGCCCCCAGGAGAGGCTAACTCCAGGCAGCCAGATAGTGCAGGGAGGCTGGCGGGCAACCGATCGCCAATCACCCCAGCCCACCCGCCTGTGCTGAGCTCATCCCCTGAGTGTTTCTGTAGCCTCCAGGAGCTCAGACCACGTGCAAACGGTAGCCCCCATAGTAATAGCCATTTACTGTGAACACCTGCCATTTACTGTGAACACCAGCCATTTGCTGGGAACACCTGCCATTTACTGGGAACACCTGCCACTTACTGTGAACACCTGCCATTTACTGGGAACACCTGCCACTTACTGTGAACACCTGCCATTTACTGGGAACACCAGCCATTTGCTGGGAACACCTGCCATTTACTGGGAACACCTGCCATTTACTGGGAACACCTGCCATTTACTGGGCCCGCCTGCCATTTACTGGGAACACCTGCCATTTACTGGGAACACCTGCCGTCAGTGCCCCACCACTGCAGCTCTGATGGTGACCACCAGCCAGTGCGCACACCACGGTCCCGTCCTCACACTACAGAGTAACCTCTACTACCCCCCACCCCCAAAACCAAAAAGATCGGGCAATGCCATGTAAGAGAGAGCAGCGCTTTTAGACCGGCGAGGAATCTATTTACAGCTCTTGGGGTTCCTCCCAGAAAGAGGAGTCTGTGCCGCCTTTTCTGTTTTGCGTAAGGGATCCCAGGCTGTTAGAAACGTTCTCCCCCCGCGTGGCATCAGGGGTGGCAGGAGGAAGGAAGGACAGGCAGAAGTAAATGGGGAAAGAGACAGAATTTAGTCTACAGGGAAGGTTTTAGCGAGCGAGGACAGAGGCCTTAGGACAACAGAGACGTGTGTGCACGTAGCCTGATTGGATCAACTTTGGCGACAGGGCTCTTTGCAACAGCAGTAAGAGCAAGAGCAGCGTTTTCCTCACTGCGGTTCCTAGTCAAGCCCCGTTGCTTGGTGCCCCTGGGGCCTTGCTCCCCGCCATGTGACAGATGGCCCTGGCTCAGCAATTGCTCTAGGCTCGCCGGCCCTTTGGGTTGTCCTGGAAACCCGGGTGTCTGCAATGTGAGCCACACCACTCCACCCTGGGCCCCCTCACCCCCAGGGATTCCCTCATTCCATTCCTCCTTTTCTCCCGTCTCCGCGCTTGGCTGACTCACCAAGTGCTCCGTGGTGGGCAGGGCGAAACAGACCCACCGCAAGGTCCCAGGAAGCTGAGAGGCTGAAGATAGAGGCTGACAAATGCGGTTTCTCAGAAACATTTGATAGGGGCCCAGCACGGTGGCTCACACCTGCGATCCCAGCACCTTGGGAGGCCGAGGTGGGAGGATCACTCAAGGCCAGGAGTTCCAGCCTGGGCAACATCGCGAGACCCCATCTCTACGAAATTTAGAAAAATCAGCCCATGCGGTGGTGGCACCTGTAGTCCCAGCTACTCGGGAGGCTGAGGCAGGAGGATTGGATTGCTGGAGCCCAGGAGTTTGAGGTTGCTGTGAGCTGTGATGATGCCATGGCACTCTAGCCTGGGGAACAGAGTGAGACCCCTGAGATCCCGTCTCTAAAAACAAAAGAGATTACGATGTGTACTACAGCACGGATGAACCCTGAGGACATTACGTTCCGTGAGTCAAAGGACAGACACCCTGTGCTCCCACTGACAGGTGGTTCCTGGAGTCCTCACTCCTAGGGGCACACACCGTGGATGGCCGGGGACTGGAGGAGGGAGAAGGGAGCTGGTGTTTAATGGGGCGGAGTTTCAGTTTGGGAAGATGAGCAAGGTCTGGAAGTGGACGGTGGTGATGGCTGCAGGACATTGTGAACGTGCTTATTGTGAACATGCTTAAGGCCCCTGAACTGTGCACTTCGGGACGGTTCAGACGGCAACTTTCGTGTTATGTTTCCCACAGTGAACCAGACAGAAAAGATAAGCATGCTGCGCCCACAAATCCAGAAGAGGCTTTTCCAAGCACTTCCGTGCCCGATTTTGTTTAAAGCTGCAAACATCGTGCAACAACCTAAATGCCCCCATATTTTTTTTTTTTTTTTTGAGACAGAGTCTCGCTTTGTTGCCCAGGCTAGAGTGAGTGCCGTGGCGTCAGCCTAGCTCACAGCAACCTCAAACTCCTGGGCTCAAGCGATCCTGCTGCCTCAGCCTCCCGAGTAGCTGGGACTACAGGCATGCACCACCATACCTGGCTAATTTTTTCTATATATATATATTAGTTGGCCAATTTCTTTCTATTTATAGTAGAGACGGAGTCTCGCTCTTGCTCAGGCTGGTTTCGAACCCCTGACCTCAAGCAATCCGCCCACCTCGGCCTCCCAGAGTGCTCGGATTACAGGCATGAGCCACCGTGCCCGGCCCAGACAGTCTCATCTGCACCCCTCCAGGAATGGGGTACTCAGTGCACCCCTCCAGGAATTTGGTACTCAGTGCACCCCTCCAGGAATGGGGGACTCAGTGCAGAGAGCACTGAGAAGGGCCCCCTCGTGGCTGGGTGGTCATGGGGGGAACATCTTCTCTCACCCCAGTCCCCCGCCTTGTGCACGTGGTCGGCAGCCCCGGCCAGGCATTGGTCCTGCAGCACCTGGCTGTCCATCCAGGGTCACCGTGCCCAGCAAGGCCAGGGAGGGGCATCTGGGATGGGGCAGGCCCCAGGCGGGGGGCTGTGGGCAGAGCCCACCGGGACCCAGGGCATGGAGGTGGCAGGGGTGGGGAGGCCGGCCAGGGGGGACCCCCTCCCTCGAAATCCTGGGGGTGTGGATCTTGGACCCCCCCATGCCCAGGTGAGCAGCCCCTTCCGCTCCCTGCCAGGTGCCGGTGAGGACGCGAGCCCAGCCTTTAGACAACAGAGTTTATTTCAGACTCAGCCTCCACTCAGGCCCCGGGTTCCTGCGGCCACTGGCCAGGTGAGGGCAGGTCCTGCCCCCACAGTGCCCACCACCACCACCTCCCAGGAGCCTGCCTGCTGCCACCATGCCCAGGGCCAGGCTGGGACCAGAGGAGGGCTGGCAGGAGTCTCCCTACAGGCGCTACGGGGCAGTGGGCGGTGTGAGGCGGTCACCCCCAAGCGGTTCTACTCTACCTGTTATTGCATTTATACGCTTGTTGGACTCAGAGGGTGTTGGGGACAGGCAGGACAGGACAGTCTGGTGCTGCTGGGCAGGCACAGCCATTGGGCGGGGCCCTCAAACCCCTGCCCCTGCCTCCCTGCCAGGCCCCTAGATGCCCCCCCCCTTGTTGTTGGTTTTGGGAGTTGGGGGTTCCGGGCTTGGGTTGTTTTCTTGGGCCCCAGGGGGGAAAGGGGGACTTTTGGGGGGCACCAAGACCAGCCAGGGCATGGCAGTGGGTGGAGGGGCACCGGGGCCCTGGGTGACCACCCGCCCCCTGCCAGCCCCACTGCACTGGCCGGCAGCCCCCTGGGGACACAGACGGAGCAGAAGTGGGGAGAGTGGAGTGACCACGCCCTTTAATGTCCCACAAGGGTAGGGCTAAGCAGAACCCATCCTGGACCCCTGCCATACTGCAGAGACCAGTGGGGGCTCCTCTGGATGTTGCTGCCGGGAAGCCCCCCAGGATCACTGGGGCGTCTCAGGCCTGGCACACGGGGACCCATCCAGCTGGGCGGGGGCCACACACAGGCCCTGCCCAACACTGGAGCTCGCCCTGTCCTGCCCTGGAGCCCCGGGGGTTGGGGGAGGCAGAGGGGGGCTCCGTGCCCCGCTCAGGGGGCTGTGCGTCCCCCTCCGCGGTACGCGGGGCGAGTGTGTCTGTATACGAGTGCGCGTGTGTGTGGGTAGGTGGGTAGGTGTGAACGCTGCATGCACTAGCTTCCTCAGGTCTGCACAGATGTGGCCCCGTGCCCCCGCCTGGCCTCCGGGCATTACTTTTTCCGGGTCAGGAAGGCCACACCAAGAATCAGGGCCACGGCTGCCACGGCCACCCCCCCAGCCACCAGCAGGAGGTTCAAGTTCTCACAGGGCCAGGGGCCGCGGCCCCCGGACCCCCCGGGGCCCCCGTTGGCAGCCTCGTCCTGCTCAGCCCCATCGCCAGGGCGCTTGGGCTCTGCGGCCGCGTCCGGACCGCTGGGGGCCGAGGGGGCCGGCTTCAGGTTGCTGTGGTTGTTGAGGAGGGCAGGGTCTGCCTTGGCGGGGGTCTTCTTGGCAGGGGCCGGGTTGGGGGCTGCCGTCTGCTCCTGCTTCTCTGCTGGGGGCTCCTTTTTCGCAGGCTTGGTGGAAGGGGCTTTCCCATCGGCAGCCGGAGGGGCCTTGGCCTCGGCGGGGGCCTGGGGCACCTTGGTGTCAGGCTTGGGGCTGCTGGCGGACTTTCCTCTGGACTCCATGGCGGGTGGTGCTGGCGGGCGGGGTGGGGGCGTGCGGGACAGGCCGGTGGCTGGACCACAGAGGCTCAGGGAGACTCAGCCCTGGGCATTACATGCGCCTAGAGGGAGACACAAGGGAGGCTGTGGAAAGGGGTGAGGTCCTCTCCTGTCCAGCCCCAACTACCGTGTCCCCAGGGAGACCATGCCCAGGTCTCTGGACTCCCAGGAGCCTCTTGGGGGCCTCAGACCCTTCTGTCCCAGCGTCCCGCCTACATTTGGCAGCCACTGCCCGGGAAGCCCCTCCAGCCACAGAGGCGGGGCTGCGGGCCGATGGGACCCGCCAGAAGCCGCCTCATGGGCCCTGAGGACTGGAGGGGGAGTATTAGGTCACAGGGAGGTGACCAGAGCCACGGTGGGCAGAAGTGACCATGCACGCTTCTCAGGACAGTTCCTGCTTCACAGAGGTCACACAGACTCCCGGGGCTGTGACCTGGCCAGAGCCCGAGTGCAGGAGGGGCAGGGCAGGGTGGGAAGCCAGGGTAGGGGCTCTCAGCTGGCTTGTGGGGGGTGGGCGTGGGCCCAAGGACACCAGGACCACGAGGACCCAGATGTGATCACATGGGCGTCTCCCAGGAGGCTGCAGAGGCCAGGCAGGCCTGGGCCACCCGGGGGGCTATCTGCCCCTCCCCAGCCTCTGGCGCCCACCCCCCAGCACAGGCCGCCCCTGGGTCCGGCACAAGGGCAGGCAGTCCTTGCCCAGCCCAGCGCTGTGCTCCCATCCGTGGGCCTGGACGGGCACACAGCGTGCCTGGCTGGGCCGTATGTAGCAGAGGCTGTGCCTGACTCCCGGCCTGCCAGGTGGGGGTGGGGAGATGCTGAGGAACGAACCCTGACCCTGAGTCCCAGGGTGACCGATGACCAGGATGCCACCGGCATCCTGGGAAGGGAAGGATGGGACACCCCCCCACCTCCCCCTGCAGGGAGAGGAAGCCAGTTTGAGTGGCCACAGCCTAGGTCCCCAAACCCTGGCCAGGTGCACTGACAGCCCTGAAGGTCACCTGAAGGTCACCGCGAGAGGAGGGTTGTCTGGTGGGAGGCCCCCCCGCTGCCCCCATTCCCAGGGCACCCGGGGCCTCTTCACCCCTGCGGTTCCAGAGGGGTCTCAGCTGCTGGCCCAGTTTGCAAAGTGCAGGTGGCGTCCTCCCCCTCCTCTATTTCTGGCTGACACTAGATCGACCTCCTCCCTCCCCCCTCCGCACGCTCCTCCTCCGCCGTCCTGGGAGGCCGGGGGGCCGGGCATCCCGGTGACCTTCAGGGCTGGGACCCCCGCTTCCTCGCCGCCCCCCGCCCCCCGCCCCCGCCAGCAGGGCCCGCCGCCTTACGCCGCTGTCCTCTGGGCCTCCCGCCTCGGTGCTGCGCGCTCCCTCCGCCAGACGGACGACAGCGGGCGGCGGCTGCGGACCGACGCGGAGCCCGGAGTTTCCCACAATGCACCGCCCAGGCGCAGGGAGCATCACGCCCCGCCCGGCCCCGCCCCCTGGAGCTGGGCGTGGCTGGGCTGCCCCTCTGGGCAGGTCCGCAGGGGGAGGGGAGCCGCGGGCAGGGAGATGGGCCACCAGCCCCCCCTCACCCCCAAACAGAGTCGCAGACGACGAGGCATCTACTTAGAATATTTATTAATCCTCTTACATGACAAGACACAAAAAATTACAACTCTTAAAACTCTTCAAAAGAAAAAAATATAATTCTGTAAGCAGAGCAGCAGCTTCCAAGGTTCAGATGTGATGGGAGGGGCAGCTCCCAGGAACAACCGTGAACTGGGGGGCCCAGGCCTGAGCCCCAGGTAGTGTCGCTGGGAAGGGGCCTCCGGGGGCGCCCGGTTTCGGAGTCACAGCACCAGCACGTCAGGACCAGTCACCAACACGATCACATGGCCGGGCGGGGCGGGGCGAGCCAGGGGGGTGCTGGTAGGACGGAGCTTTGGACCGTGGTCAGGGGCCTCATGCAGAGAGGCTCAGAGAGTAGGGTGGGGGCTGGCGGGACTGGGGGAAGTTCCTGCCCCCCCACCAGCAGGGCAGGTGCCCCCAGACTCCATATTGGTCCCTATGCCTGCCCTTCGCCCCCGCCGACCCCGGACAAGGGGTGGGGGCCTCAGAAGAGAGTCTCAGAAGGTGCAGCAAGAGGGGCCGGGCTGGAGCAGTAAGTTCCTGGACGGGGTCAGCAGAGAGCCTGGGGTGACCCAGCGCAGAGGCCCGCCACGTGGGGAGGGCAGAGCCCCCACAGCCCCATCCCAGGGGGGCTGGGCCGGCAGAGGGCAGGAGGCCACACCCTGCTCCCTACGACACGCACACACACACACACACACACGCGCACACACAGACTCACACGTCTGTGCAAGCCTTGAGCAACACGGGGGCGGGAGAGCTCAGGTTTCCTGCGAGGCTGGCTGGGGAGGCGGTCGGTCGTGCCTTGCATGGGCAGAGTGGCTGCAAGGACGGACGGAAGGACTGGAGAGCCACTTGGGCTCACAGAATCAATAAATAGGTTTGTGCAGGGTCCCCAGGACAGCCTCGGGGACAGGAGCTGGTGGCCTCGGGGGTAGGGTCCAGCCTGCCCAGCCCAGGCCCTGGGGCCCCCAGCCCAGAGACCAGCTCTGTCCCTGGGGGTGTTCAGGCCCAGGCAGGCACGGGGCAGGGGCTGGCTTGAGGAATGTGAAGGTTTCTGCATTTTCTACATAAATAAGACGTTGATCCCAACAGTGCAGGCAGGACCCGGCGGGGCCATGTGCCCACCACCCACATGGACCCTGCCACCCTCCCCTGCCGAGGGGGGCGGGCTGGGGAGGTCTCGCCTCGCTAAGTCCGGGGCTGGCGGCCCTGCCCGGCCCCACGCCGGCCCTGCCCGGCTGGCCGGGGCGGAGCAGGAGCCCGCGCAGGCTCAGGCCCGGGGACCCTGCAGCAGCCCCAGCAGGGACTCCGCGATGCCCAGGAAGTAGACCACCTGCGCGATGCCGAAGAGCGGTGCGATGACCAGGGCGCGGCAGTAGGCGCCCTTCAGGAAGGCCGAGGGGCCTTCGTGCCGCAGGATCTTCCTGTGGAGAAGGGAGGGTCAGAACCGGGGTGCAGAGGCCCACGCCTGTCATCCCAGCACTCCGGGAGGCCGAGGCGGGCGGATCATTTGAGCTCAGGAGTTAGAGACCAGCCTGAGCAAGAACGACTCCCCGTCTCTACTATACAAAGAAAGAAATTAATTGGGCCGGGCGAGGTGGCTCACGCCTGTCATCCTAGCACTCTGGGAGGCCGAGGCGGGCGGATCGCTCGAGGTCAGGAGTTCGAAACCAGCCTGAGCAAGAGCGAGACCCTGTCTCTACTATAAATAGAAAGAAATTAATTGGCCAACTAATATATATATAGAAAAAAATCAGCCGGGCATGGTGGCGCATGCCTGTAGTCCCAGCTACTCGGGAGGCTGAGGCAGGAGGATCGCTTGAGCCCAGGAGTTGGAGGTTGCTGTGAGCTAGGCCGATGCCACAGCACTCACTCTAGCCTGGGCAACACAGCGAGACTGTCTCAAAAAAAAAAAAGAAAGAAATTAATTGACCAACTAAAAACATATAGAAAAAATTAGCCAGGCATGGTGGCACATGCCTGTAGTCCCAGCTACTCGGGAGGCTGAGGCAGGAGGATCGCTTGAGCCCAGGAGTTGGAGGTTGCTGTGAGCTAGGCTGACACCACGGCACTCACTCTAGCCCGGGCAACAGACCAAGGCTCTGTCTCGAGAAAAAAAAAAAAAAAAGAGCTGGGGCCCGAGTCCCCCACACTCCCTCGCCCCACAGGGCGCCGCGCCCACCTGGCACAGTCCAGAAACCCGGAGTAGGTGTCCTCGTTCACGCCTCGCTGCAGCGACTGGAGCCGCGTCTTCACCACTGCGGTGGGGAGGGGGGCGCAGGCCGGTGTGTGAGCCCCGCTCGCCGCCCGTCCCCTCGGCCCCAGCCCCGCCCCGGGTCCAGCCCGGGCACTGACTGACCGTCACAGGGGTTGACGGCCACGGCGGCTGCGCTCCCGGCCGCACAGCCGGCCAGGAAGGACACGTAGAAGGGCGACTTCTCCTCGGACGCCGGGCGGCCCAGCTGGTTCAGGTTGGCGAAGAGCGGGAAGTAGACGATGGAGAAGGGCACGTCCCTGCGCGAAGGGGTGCGGCCCTGGTGACCCCCGGGGGTGCTGGGGCGGGCGGGCAGGCGGGCAAGCGGCCTCCTCCCGCCCTCCCCGTCCCTCCCACCTGAGCAGCGTGGCCCCGAGTCCCTTGTAGAGGCCGGCGATGCCCCGGCTGCGCAGCAGGTCCCTGGTCAGCTGGGTGGCCGTGGGCCGGGGAGCGGCCGGAGCCTCCACGGAGGCCGGGGCGCCGCTCTGGGCAGCCAGGATCTTCCTCTGGGCAGCTGTGGAGAGACGGGTGGGCGCTGTCTCTTCCTCCGGGCCGGGCGGGACAGGGCAGGGGACGGGTTCGGGTCTCACCGCGGCCCCCTCCGGCCCGAGAGCGCCCTCACCAATGCGCCCTGCATCCTGCAGCTGGATCTTCAGCATCTCCATGGGGGTGGTCACGATCACCTGGCAGGTGCCAGCCCCGCAGCCCGCCAGCATCTCCTTGGGCAGGGTCAGCTTCTGCCTGTGGGGGGAGCGGGGGCCGCGGTGAGGGGTGGGGAGGGACGGGAACCACATGCGGGGGGGGGGCCGCCTGCGAGGCTGGGTGCAGAGTGGGGTGGGAGGGTGGAGGCATACAGGGCCATGTGGGGTGCAGCGGGCTCCCCAGCTCAGGCCCCCCCAGAAACGGGCAGCGACCAGCCCAACGGGGACAGATGGCCCCACAGGCAGGGGCCTGGGAAGTGAGGCCATCTTCCCACTAAGAAAAAGGGGGAATTGTGGGGTCTTTTTTTTTTTTTTTTGAGACAGAGTCTCGCTTTGTTGCCCAGGCTAGAGTGAGTGCTGTGGCATCGGCCTAGCTCACAGCAACCTCAAACTCCTGGGCTCAAGCGATCCTCCTGCCTCAGCCTCCCGAGTAGCTGGGACTACAGGCATGCGCCACCATGCCCGGCTAATTTTTTTCTATATATATTAGTTGGCCAATTAATTTCTATTTATAGTAGAGACGGGGTCTCGCTCTTGCTCAGGCTGGTTTCGAACTCCTGACCTCGAGCAATCCGCCCGCCTCGGCCTCCCAGAGTGCTAGGATTACAGGTGTGAGCCACTGCGCCCGGCCGAATTGTGGGGTCTTGAGTGCCCTGCTCTCCAGTGATGGGGGAGTTGGTAGGGGCCCCCCAAATCCTGGCCTACAAATGGACGGACAGTGGGAAGTGGATGGGGGCCAAGGACTACGGGCGCCAGAGCCCCAACTCAGCACCTGCCCTGTTCCCCACCCCCGGGAGGAGAAGGGGGAAGGAAGCCCGTGCTGGGGACCTGAAGGTGGGTAGAGCCCCCAGGAGCCCCAACGTAGGGTCCAGCTGGCCGGGCTGACTTCTGTCCTTGTCTGGGGCCAAAGGACCCCCCCTCCAGATGTTTACCACAACACCCCTCATGACCTTGGCCCCAGACACCAGGCAGGGCCAGCCCCTCACCCATCCTTAGACAGCTGATGGCGGAAGAAGTCGTTGGCTGCTAGCTTGATGGCCTTCTCCGGGGTGACCAGGGTCAGGTTCACAGCGGCTCCTGTGGGGCACACGGGGGTCAGGTGGGGCCTGGGGGCACACAGGCAGGTCAGGGGGGTGGGGGGCGCACACGTTCCTCGGCCCGGGCTTGGGAGGCTCCCGGCCAGCACTCGCTTCCCGCTGGCAAAGTCCTCCCTGTCACTCCCTGGCCGCCGCCTCCTGCCCTCTCACCCACATTTGGGCCCCGGCTTGTGCCAGGCGGGGCGGGCACCAGGCGGAGATAGGGGACACGCCTCCGCCTCTTCCAGCCCCCCCCCACAGTCCTCCCACTCCCTCCATCTGTCCCTGCGTCTAGAGACACAGCCTCACGCTGCTGCTGCTGCCGCTGCCGCCGGGACTGCCGGGCAGTGGGGGTCAGACCCCGAGCCCTGGCGGCCTCCCTCCCTGGGGGACGGAAGGCGCTTGCCCTGGCAGGGGGCAGGGATGAGAGGACACAGGGGTCGGACTCAGGGGGAGGCGGTGGAGAGCCTCCACCTCGGTTCCCAGGGCTCAGGGCTTCCAGCCAGATCCCTCCCGGCTGCGGATTGTTTCCTAAGCTGCTTTGCGGGGACGCCCCCCCCACGCCCTCCCATCTCCAGGCACAGATGGGCCTGCCTGTCCCAGAAGGCAGGGACAGAGGTGTGGTGGGTCATCCTCTGCAGTGTCCTGCCACACCAAGCACTGGCGTCACATGGGGAGCGGGGGAGGTGCCGGGGAGGCCTGAGCACCTCCACCCACCGGAGAGCCAACCAACCCCGCCCCAGCACAGGTTCCACCAGCCCCCACAGACCCCCTCGGACTGGCCGCCCCCACCCCCCCCGGGCCTCAGGAGGGTGCCACACGGGCCTGCCGTGCTCCGCGCTCACCCCGGTACATGCCGAAGTAGCCCTCGGAGCGGATGGTCTTGATGAGACAGTCGGACCTGCGGCCAAGGGGACGGGGTGAGCTGGGGGCCGGCGAGGACGGTCCCCCTTCCCAAGCGCAGATGGAGGTCAGCTCCTTCCCTGCCCAGGGACTGGGGCCTCTGGGCTGCCCAGGGCTGACGGAAGAGGCCAAGCCCTGAGCCCAGCAATGAACCCAGCTGTGACCAGGATGGAACCCCCCTCCCCATCGCTGCCACCTGCCCTGCCTTCACCTTCTCCTTTTGTCACATGGTGGGGGGGCGCGGGAGCATAGCTCAGAGGTGCGAACCCCAGCCTGCCCCCGGGCACACTCACATGCTGCTGTACATGCGCTGGCCGTTCTGCTGGTTCTGCAGCCTCGTCTTAGCCAGGTCGATGGGGAACACGCAGGTGACCCCGATCAACCCGGCGATGCCACCATTGATGAGCTTGGCTGGCAGGCTGTGTGGGCAGGTGGGGGAGAGGTCAGGACCTGCTTCCTGGACCACGGGTCAGGGGTGGGGCGCGGGGCACGTGGCCGGCCGGGACTGAAGTCTAACCTGATCTGCTTATCAGCCATTTAACTCCGATCAGGATCGCGCCAGGTAGGAGCCAGACGGAGGTGGACTTGGTGCTGGGGAGGAGGCCACGCGGAGGGAGGGAGGGTGGGACCCAGGGGGGAGGGCGGTCCTCCACCTCTGGAGGAATTTCAAGGCTCAGCCCCCACTCTGTTCTGGAAGGAAGCGGGGCCAGCGATCAGTGGAGGGTGGGACAAGCCAGAGGAATAAGCCTCCCACCCTGGCTGGGCTGCAGCCACCACCAAGTCCTGGGGGTGCACAGGGGAGGCACCTGCCACCCAGCCTTGTCCCTGGGACCACCCGGTTTCCCCTCAAGCATCCCCTGCCGGCTCCTCCCAGCTCACACTTGCTCATGCTCACATGCACCCAGCGAGCCCAGGCTTTTTTAAAGGGCCAGGCGCCGCTAGGGGACAGCAGCCGGGGCCCCGCCTGCCTGCTGGAGAACTTCAACCCGGGCTGGGCTGACCATGCCCCTTCCTGGGGCAGAGGCAGGACACATGCCCTCTCTGGACGGGACCTGGGGTCTCCCAGCTGGCTCCTCCCTGGTGCTCCAAGTCCCCCCTGTCCTGGGCCCGGCTCTCGTCTGCCCGGATGGACTCGGCCACCCCAGGTCCAGCCCCGCTCTGGGCCCACAGAGCCCCCTCCCCACACAGAAGCAGGAAACCACCCACCTTTGCCCTCTGCCCTTTGCCCTCTCCATCTCCCCAAACCTCACCCACAGAGACGCAGAGACCCAGCGGGAGCCTCAGGCCTGTGTGGCGGAGGGGACGGCTGACCTTCTAGGGCCCCTGTGGTTGACGCCCCCATCCACTACAGGCTGAGGGGGAAGAGGCCTCTCCCCCAAGGGGCAGCGCTGAGCAGACTGAGCCACCACCACCACCCTGGGGGCCCCCCATGGGCGCAGCCATACAAACTGAGCTGGGGGGCGGGCGCTCCCGGAGTCCTGGCGCCCCCGTCCCCCCAGAGGCCAGCAGTCACAGGCTCACACCAGCGGCGCCGCTGCCCAGGGTCACACGGCTGGCTCACGCCTGTGGTTTCTCAGGGGACCGGTGACCTTCACCTGGCTTTGCAGGCCCCGACCCTCCCAAAGCCCGCTCTGCTCCCCTCCCTGGTCCTGCTCACCCCTGCTCAGCCCGAGGTTCTCAGGACCCGGCTCCTCCGGGACTCCAGCAAGCCGGCTCACCGGGCAGGGGAAGCTGGCTCTGGAGGAGGCCAGACACCCGGGATTGGCCGCGGGGCGGGGCGGGGCGGGGCGGGGCGGGCCTGAGGGGCGGCAACTTTCTCTTTCTCTTTGGGCAAGCTGGGGCTTCCTGCAGCTCTGGGAGAAGGGGTGAGACAACTCCAGGGGGGCACAGTCCAGCCTTGGAGCCCCAGGGAAGGGGCTTGGGGACAGGTCTGACCGCAGCCACCTGGTGGATTCCTGTCTGCAGCCTGTGGGCCGAGTCCAGCAGCAGCAGCCCGACGTGCAGGGCGCTGGTACCTTGCGGACGGGACTCTTTCTGCGCCCAGGCACCCTGTGTGTACCTGCTGCGGGGCGGAGATGGGCTGGCACCCACTCGTGACTGCGGGACCTGTGCGCGCATTACCGGCAGGTACTTACCAAAGGAACCTCCGGCTGGGACACAGAAAGGCACGTTGTGTCCACCGGGAAGGGCTGGGTCCCACAGGGCACCGGTTACCACCCTCAGGCCCTGCTCACCTGGCAGGTCCGGAGGGCCCAGAAACTGCCAGAGCCCTACGTCCCACCACCAGCCGCCACACACAGGGCTTTGCAGCTCTGTGCCCCGGGGGGTGAAGGACTGACCTCTGAACTTCAACCTCATCTATCTCTCACCGCCACTACCACCTGGCTCTCCAGGTGCAGTGCACTGGGGTCTGACCCTGCCCTCCGGGGACTGAGTCCTGCCTGCCTGGGCAACCCCCGTGCTCCCTGTGCAGGGTGAGGGACACCTGGTGACAGGGACAGCCCTGGCCCTGCAGTCACACAGACCACCCAGGGTGGGGAGGGTCGCTGGTCTCCCAGAGAGACGCAGGCCCAGAGATGCCATGGCTGTGGCCGCACCGCAGGCCACAGCAGCAGAGAGGACGCTGGTGGGCTGAGAACAGACAGTGAGGCTCTACCTGGGGAACAACGGGCACGGCCCTCCGGACCCTGAACCCCCTTTCTCTGTCCTCAACTGGCAGCGCCCACCCCTTGCCTACGAGACAGCTGGCCAGGGCCCTCCCCTGCGCTGGTGTTGTCGTAGAAACCCGCAGCCTCAGCCTGGCGCTCAGGGAAACTGAGGCCACAGGCAGGCTGGGGAGAAGGCAGGGCAGCCTACAGAGACCACCCCGCTGGGCCATCCTGCGGCTTCCTGACCTGCCCGGCTAAAATCTCCTGCAAACGAAGCTGCCCAGCTCCCCCTACCTGCAAGAAAGGCGATGGGGGTGAGGCTCAGAGTCTGGGACCGGCTACCCGCGCCCCATCCAGTCCCCCCACTCCCTTCCTCTTGGAGAGGCGCTTTCCGTCCTCGGGGCGGAGCGTCCCGGGGTCTCCGACTCCGCAGTGCCGCGACCGGCGGAACAAAGGGGAAGCCGGCTGGGAGCCGCTCCCTCCGCTGCGGTTAGGGCTCAGCCAGCCTCGCAGTCCCCGCCTGGAGACCGCGACTCCGCTCACGCACGTGTCCCCCGTGTCCGGGGAGGCCCCACGTGTGCGCCCCCCAAGGCCTCTCCTCCCTGGGCCCCGGCCCCGGGCCCCCACCCCCCGGGACACGTGTGCGTGGGGAGCGCGCCCGGCACCGCCGGGGCCGAGCACGGCCTCCCACACCCGGGCGGCGGCGGGTCGCAGCATCTGCCGGTCCAGGCGCCGCCGAGGCCGCCCTCCCCGGGCAGCTGTCACCTCTCCCGGCCGCCGTGGCACCCCTGGGCCCCGCAGCCCGGCCGCTCGGGTGGGCGCCGCAGAAGGGAGCCTCCAGGCGGGCACTCACCGCGCTCTGCCGCCGCCGCGCCGCGCTCGCCTCCCCGCCGTGCCGCGCGCCCGGCCAGCACCTAGGCGGGGAGACGCGTCGCTCGGCGCCGCGCGCGCTCCGCCCCCGGCCCGGGCGGGCTTCGGCTCCCCCTCCCGGCCGCCGCGGCTACTGCACCGGCCAGGCCGCTGCGCATGGCCCACCCGCACCAGGCGCTGGGCGCACGGGGACGTCCGGGCTGGTAGGGCGGCTAGGAGCGTGGAGAGCCGGGCCTGCGTCCCGTCCCCGGGGCTCTTCTTCCGTCTCCGACCTCACGCCCCTGTAGGGGCCGGAGCCGTGGGGGGCGGGCAGGTGCCAGGGAGCGCGAGAGGATGTGGGTGCCCTGAGGGAGCAGTGGATCTCCAGGGCAAACAGTAGGCGCTCAGTGGACACAGCTCGCCAAGCGCCGGTGTGGCAAGGCGGAAGCACGCTCCTGCCACACAAGCGACTTTGTATCCATCCACCAGCGCTGCTACTTTGTAGCACCAGCTCCTCCCAGTCCGCGGGAAGATCAGGACCAAGAGGAGGGCCAGGCATGGTGGGAAGAGCGGCAGGAGCAAGGGCTGCGGGCAGTTGGCCTGCACAGGCCCTCCCAGCAGGGCTGGGCCTCCATCACCCGCCTCCCTCCAGCATCTCTAGCCGTAAATAAACAAGCTCTGAGACCACAGAGGAAACAGTACAGGTTTGTTGCCCACGGGAGACACTCCGAGAGGCTTGAGGCGGGGGATTCTGGCCATCGGCAGGGGCGAGTCAGGCCAGCCCAGAGGCTGTGGGGCCTAGGCCTGGGCAGGCTCTTGGGACTGTGGAGGCGACGGGCCGGGCACAGCAGGGTCCTCGGAAGCCAGGCCTGTGCGCCGGATCCCGTCCTGGTACTTGTGGCGGCCGAGCTCCAAGACTGCCCGAACCTCTTCAGCCACGTCCTGCCGGTCACTCTGCTCCAGGGCCTGCACCAGGAGCCCCACGGCCCCTGGCTGCCCAGCCTGGCGCTCAGCCCAGGAAAAGAGCATATGGCGTATCTGCCCGTCCAGGTCGTCCCTGGGAGAGGAATTGCAGAGGGAGCGGTGCTGCCCACCTGCCCAGGGCCCACTCACCACATTCAGGGTCTCACTCCCCCTGGACCTCCTTGGGCCTGGTGCCTGCTGTTGCCAGACCTTCCCTTTCCAGCCTGGTTGCCCTGCTCCCACCCCCCACCTCCCCCGGAAGAAAACTTTTGCCAGCATCAAATGGGGTCCTCTGGGTAGCCAGGGCCCAGCCCTCAGGCTGGCAGCAGGCGGCTCACCGGAACTCATGCCGGATGCGCTGCAGCTCACGGTAGGGCATGCCCAGGTGCAGGGCCACGGCCGGCCAGTCAGGGCCCAGGCGCCCGGCCACACTCAGCAGGTTGCTCTGGGTCAGGAAGCCGGTCTCAGCGTCGCCCAGGTTCAGAGGTGCCAGGGAGAGGCTAGCCCGCCGCCCTTGCCCCTCGGACCCCCGTAGCCTCTGTCGGGGGGAGGAGGAACTGTAGTGGGCCCCAGACCCTGCCCGAGTCGCCCCTGGGTCTCTGTCCCATCCACACCCCTTCACACCGCCCCCAGCCCCACCGGCAACTTGATGGGCAGAGTGGCCATCCACAGGGCATCTGCGCCCTTCCTCCGACGGGCAGCCTCCGCCTCCTCGGGCACTTCCACGGGCACCGTGCCCCGGTAGAAGGACACCTGAGGGGGATCGGGTAGGGTTCAGAGCTCTGGCCCCCGCCCAGGCAACCTGGGGAGGCCCTGCCCCACCGGCCCACCTGGCCCCGCACAGCCTGAGCCTCCCGGTCCAGAGTGGTGGTCACGTAAACCTCCTTCACGTTCTTCAGGTGTGAGTAGAAGACAAAGCAGACTCTGCCATCCACGCAGTCGGGGCGATCTGGGGGATGGGGCGGGGGTGGGGTGGGGCTCAGCAGGGGGGCGTGGGGGGGGACAGGCCACCAGCTCCCCCTCCAGGGCCAAGGGGGCCTACCAGCATCCACATCGATGCCCCGCTCGAAGGCCGCAAAGAACTTCTCACCCTCAAACATCTCCACGGTGTCGGAGGGCTCAGGGCCCCGGTACCTCTCTAGCAGCCGCTGAAGCGTGCCGTCCACCTAAGAGGCCCCCACGTGGCTCAGAGCCCAAAGCTCCGAGCCCCACCCCTGCCCGCTGGCCGCCCCCCTGCCCCACCCCCACCTTGTTGCGGGGCAGGCACTGCAGCAGGACTTGCTCGGGGTCCCGCCGCCGCTGCAGGGCGATGAGGTTCACGCGGTGCAGCCGCAGCCGCTCCCAGGCCTTCCGCGCCAGGCCCCCCACGCAGGTCTTGGTGGTGTACCAGAGCCAGTACCTGGGAGGGCTGGGGGTGAGGGGACTATGCAGACTGGGTGGGTGTCGCGGGACTGAGGAGGCTGGGTGGACACTGACCAGGAGAAGTGTGTGACCTGGAAGCGGGCGTACAGGTGGGTGAGCTCCAGTACCACCTGAGCCGTGATGTCATCCCAGGTGGCTGCAGGAGGGGCCCAGTACAACAGGTGCAGGCAGGCGCGGTCCAGACTGAGGCCTGGGGACAGGACGGGGCAGTAGGCTAAGGCCCCCCCCAGCCAAGGGCTCCCCCCCTGCAAGCACTGCCCCCTCTGCACTGTGGCCATAGTTCTAGATACAGCACGTGGTCTCCTCTTACCTGTGGTGCCAGAGGGCAGAGGCAGCTGCACAGTGACTGGGCGGAGGAAGCTGGGGGGGCCGCTCTGCGAGAGGCACAGCAGGGGGCTCACTGCGGCCCCTGGCTCCCCCAGGAGAGCTCGCAGCTCCCTGCCGGCCATGTGCACCACCTGGGGCAGACAGGCCACCTGAGCACCCACCTGTGGGCTGAGGCTCCGCCTGCTGTCCTCGGGGCTACCCCGGCCATACCTGCATGGAGATTCGACGAGGCTCTTCGGTAGCCCCAGGGGGGAAGGTGACCTTGACCCCCGGATGACCAGAGGAGCACAGCAGTGTCCCCTCTGGTGTCACCAGACAGGCATTGGACACGGGGCGAGAAACCACAAGGAACCAGGAGAAGTGGGGCACCTGGCAGTGAGCCCAGAGCCGCTGGAACGGGTGCTGGGGGGTCAGACGGGAGAGGGGTCAGGGCGGAGCTGCCGGACAGAGGGAGCAGGACCAAGCTAGAGGCAGAGGCAGGATGGGCAGGGGTGGGGCAGGGGAGGGGAGGGCGGTGGACAGGGTGGGCCCCCTGCAGGCCTGGGCGGCCCTCACCGTGGGCGCCTCTTCCTCCAGGTGGGTCTCCAGGTCACCCCAGCTGTCGTCAGTGCGGGTCCTGACCACCACCTCGCGAAAACGCCGGGCCCGCGGGGGCACAAACAGCAGCCACAGGCCCACGTCCTGCCGAGCAAGGGTGGTGTGAGGCTAGGGCCAGCCCTGGGCCTCCACCCCTGCCCGCCGCCCCGCGCTGGCCATGCCTGCTGGAAGGCCACACCGTGGGGCTGCAGCTCCAGGACACCACTGAGCAGGGCGTCGTGGGGGCCCAGGGGGACGAGGCCTGGCTCCGGCGGCAGCAGCCGGTAGCGGATGGTGATGGGGGTGGCGGTGGCCCCTGCCGGGAACTGCAGGCGGGCGCCACAGGCCAGGGTCACAGAGCAGCCTCGGGGGGTCACAGGGAAGCTGAGGAGGAAACGGGGGCGTCGGGTCAGACTCAGAGGGGCCCGTGTGGCAGAACCCGGTGCCCAGGGGCTCCAAAAGACCACTGAGGCCCCCCGGGCCAGGGGACTGGTCAACAGACACTCCTGCTCTCCCTCCTCCTGCCCACCCCCCACCCCGGTACCTGTCCAAATATGAGGTCAGGAACAGCCTGGGCATTTCCAGAACTGGGGGTGTCCCTGCGGAAGGGACAGACCTGGCGTCAGGACACTGGGGGGTGCCCACGTCCTAGCACGGGCTGCCCCTCCCTCGCACAAAGCCTACCTGGGGGACTCGGAGGGTCTGCCGAGACCTCGCCCAGGGGGTTCCCCTGCAGGCGCACGAAGGGGGCGTCCAGTAGCTCGGGGGGCACCTCCCGGAGCTGGTTGTCCCTCAGGTCGAGCCGGGTGAGCAGCGGGAGGCGGGCCAGGCCGGCGGGCACGGAGGCCAGGAGGTTGCTGTGCAGGAGCAGGAGCCGCAAGGACCGCAGCCCCGCTGGGGGCAGGGGCGGGATCAGGGCCGGCAGGGGACCACCAGGATGCTCCTGCCGCAGCCTCCCAGAGAGGCTGTCTCAGGCTCAACTCCTCCGAGCGCTCTGACAAAGCTGCACAGGGAGCCTCAAAGGCCCCCAAGGGCCACCAATGAAGCCGCGTGGGCCAAGCTGGTAGCTCGGGGCCCAGGTGAGGGCGGAGCCCGGCCAGTGGCCGCGGGGTGCTGCCCAGCAGGCCCCGTGAGCACAGGGGGCTGCAGCTGCTACTCACCAAGAGAGGCTGGGAGGCTCTGCAGCCGGTTGGAGGCCAGATTGAGCTCACTGAGGCTGCCCAGGCCTCCAATCTCCGGGGGCAGAGTGTCCAGGAGGTTCTTGGAGAGATCGAGGCGCTGTAGGGTGGACAGGGCCCCAAGAGCTGTGGGCAGCGTTTGCAGGCGGTTGTGTGTCACGGCGAGGAAGGTGAGGCCAGGGAGGGCCCCCAGGGCCTCCGGCAGCTCGGAGAGGCAGTTGTGCGAGAGCAGGAGCGCGTCCAGGCCACGCATCTGCGGGACACAGCCCGGCAGCGTCTCCAGGCTGTTGAAGCTCAGGTCCAGGTGGGCCAGGCGGGCCAGGCCGCTCAGGCCAGCGGGCAGGGTGGTCAGGGCGCCCCGGAGGCAGGCTCCCAGTGCATCCCGGCACTGCCCCCCTGGGAAGAAGGGGAGGAAGATGTGGCCCTCAGAACCAGGGTCCCAGGTCCCAGCTTGGCCCTGCCAGCCAGAGAAAGAGCTGCCCGAGAGGCACAGACCTCCCACTGCCCCCCCCCCCAGACAGGGACAGACAGACGCTAGAAACGGAGGGAGGCAGGGACGGAGACCACTGGTCCATCTCAGCTGACAGCTGTCACCCATGACCTACCCCAGGAGCAACGTCCACACTGGGGTCTGCTGAGAGGCCCCACAGGGCAGCTTCAGGGTCTGGGAGCTTGGACGCAGCCAGCCTCACCTTGGGTGAGGAGGGTGAAGGAGCTGAGGACAGGGACCAGGAGTAGGACAGGAGTTCACACCTGGGGAGCCCCCGGGGGAGGTGGGGCCTGGGGCTGGGTCTGGGGCTAAGGTTTGCCTTTGAGAATCAAGCAGTGGCAGGGCAGAGCTAGAGATAGGGAGAGGGCCAGGCTCACCTTTGAGGACCAGGGAGCGGAGTCGGGGCAGGCACCAAGGCACCCGGGCCAGGGTGGCCTCCAGCAGCTGGGGGTCCTCGTGGGTGCTCAGCCGCAAGAACTCCACCTGAAGCAGCTGAGGGAGCTGCTGGGCACACAGGTGCAGCAGCCGGCGGCAGCCCCCAGGGTGCAGGTCGAAGCTCAGCCGGTTCCCCCCGACCAGGAGAGGCCCTGCATCCACGGTCGTCTCTACAGCATCTTCTGCAGCAGCTGCCTCGGGCTCCAGCCCCTCCACCACTGCAGCCATCACCCACCAAGTGTCCTCGGGGGCCAGACATGTCCTGGCACGTAGGCAGGCCTGATCAGGCAGGGCCCAGGGAGGCTGCAGAGGAAGGGGGAAGAGTGGGTAGGAGTGGGGGCTGGTTCCCTCCTCCTACCAGGGGAACAGGGACTCTAGCTGCAGCGGGGGAGCCCTGGAGCCAGGCCATCTGGTCCACAGAGCAGGGGAGACCCTGTGGTCACTCGCAGCCCTGGAGCCTGGGCCATTGCTGGAAAGGGGGGTGGGGAATGGGATTCCCCCCCCTGGCTGGGAAGGGAACCAGGCAGGGAGACTGTGTACACCGCAGAGCCTGGGGAACCCTGCTCCAGGTAGGGGCCAGGAGTGAGTGAGGCTTCAAGTTCTGGAAATCGGGGGCAAGTGACTCCCAGACCTGTCAGGCCATCAGGCTGCAGCCCTTGCTTGCTCTGGGGAATGAGTCGACCTTCGACCTTCATAGCAATCAGCTCTGAGGCCGCGGGGGTGACTGTGGCCCGCATGTCAGAGAAGCCAGTGTTTAAGAGGAGGGACCTGAGGCGTGAGCCACTGCACCAAGGCTTCGGGGTCTTGGGGGCGGGACCCCAATCCGTTGATCCCTGGGGGAGAGCTCGCCTGCCCTTTCCAGTTCCCACCTCCGTCCGCTAGGGAGGGCTCAGACGGCGTGGGGGCGGGCCCCGACCCCGAGCGCGCGCCCTCGACCGTGGAGGCCGGCTGGGGAGGCCGGGGTGCAGCGCCTGGGGCAGCCCCGCCCTCTCGCAGCGAACGTCCCCGCCGTCCCCTCCGCGCCCGCGGCCGGCGCGTACCTGCCTCCAGGCGGGGCGCAAACGCCGGCGCCGGTCCGCGCGCTCCGCGCCCGTGTTCCCGCCGGCGCGGTTCCGGGCGGGCTGCTCTAGGCCCCGCCCCCAGGTCCCGGGCCCCGCCCCCAGACCCCAGGCCCCGCCCCGTCGGCGGTCCCGCCCCGCCTGCCCTCCGCCAGCCTGCGGCCCCGGTACGCAGACACCGGCCGGTCCGTGTGTCGCGCCGCCCGCGCTCCTGCACTCCGCTTCCCGTCAGCCCGCGTAACTCTGTGCCGTGCAGCACCCGCGCCGGGAGGGCCGGCGGCGCGCCCCGAGTCCCGCCTTTCGGAGAATCCCGCCCGGGGCTCCCAGGCTGTGCAGTCCCGGCCCAGGTTCGATCCCAGGCCGTGGGGGCGGGCTTTGCTGGCCGGTCGCCACCGCCGCCCCCCAGCCCCGGAAGCCAGAACCCTAAGAGTGCCCTTCCACAGTCAGCGCCAACGGCCTCCCTCCCTGGGAAGCCTCCCGGAGCCTCGCAGAGCTACCCAACCTGCCCACGGCTCCAAAGACCCTCCTTTATTGGCCATCGCCCTGGGCCAGGTGCCAAGGCAGGGAGCTTCCTGGCGCGGCCTCCTGGAATCCTCGTCTGAATTTCCCAAAGGAGGCTCTGAGAGATCAGATTTTGCCCAAGACCCTGTAGCTGGTGAGGGCCAAAGCCAAGAACCTCACCCCATCTGTGTGCTTTCCCCACCAAACGTGACCGACCTGCTAAGCTCGGGGCCTGTGCTTCATTCACCGGCCTCCTGATGCCCCAGAGTTCTGTCGGTTTTACTCCAGATTATATTGTGTGCTCCCTCTTACCGCCACCAGGGTGGGCAGGTCCCTGCCAGGCCTCCCCACTTCCATTTCCTCCAGTCCTTCCTTTCATTCAGTCTCCACGTAGCTGCCAGAGGAATCTTTTCAAAAACCCAATCAAGGGCGACTTCTCTTTTTTTTTTTTTTTTTTGAGACAGAGTCTCTCACTTTGTTGCCCAGGCTAGAGTGAGTGCCGTGGCGTCAGCCTAGCTCACAGCAACCTCAAACTCCTGGGCTCAAGCCATCCTCCTACCTCAGCCTCCTGAGTAGCTGGGACTACAGGCATGTGCCACCATGCCCGGCTAATTTTTTCTTTATATATTAGTTGGCCAATTAATTTCTTTCTATTTATAGTAGAGACAGAGTCTCGCTCTTGCTCAGGCTGGTTTCGAACTCTTGACCTTGAGCGATCCTCCCGCCTCAGCCTCCCAGTGAGCTAGGATTACAGGCGTGAGCCACCCCGCCCGGCTAAGGGTGACTTCTGGGGACCCCCTCTCTTGGGGCCCCAGAACCTCGTCCACAAAAATATTAAAAAACAAAACAAAACAAAAAAAACAATCACAGGAATATTATTCAGCCTTAAAAAGGAAGGAAGCCAGGCACACTGTCTAGTACCTGTAGGCTGAGCTATTAGGGAGGCTGAGGCAGGAGGATCACTTAAGTCCAGGAGTTTGAGGCTGTAATGCGCTATGATTGTGCCGGGAAGTAGACACTGCACTCCAGCCTATGCAACACATTCAGACCCATCTCTTAAAAAAATAAATAAATAAATCCTGGTACATGCTATACAAAATAGATGAGCCTTGATAATTGAAAACATGCTGAATGAACGAAGTCAGGCACAAAAGAACAAATGCTGTATGATTTCACTCCTATTAGGTCCTCAGAGTAGTCAAAATCATAGAAACAGAAAGTGGAATGGTGGTTACCAGGGGCTGGGAGAGGGGGAATGGGGAATTTAATGGGTATAGTTTCACTTTGGGATGATGAAAAGGTTTCTGAGATGTTTACGGTGATGGCTGCACAACAATGTGAATGCACTTAGTGCTATTGTATACCTTTAAAAGTAGTTAAAATGAGGCCGGGCGCTGTGGCTCACGCCTGTAATCCTAGCTCTTGGGAGGCCGAGGCGGGCGGATTGCTCAAGGTCAGGAGTTCAAAACCAGCCTGAGCAAGAGCGAGACCCCGTCTCTACTATAAATAGAAAGAAATTAATTGGCCAACTGATATATATATAAAAAATTAGCCGGGCATGGTGGCGCATGCCTGTAGTCCCAGCTACTCGGGAGGCTGAGGCAGAAGGATCACTCAAGCCCAGGAGTTTGAGGTTGCTGTGAGCTAGGCTGACACCACGGCACTCATTCTAGCCTGGGCAACAAAGTGAGACTCTGTCTCAAAAAAAAAAAAAAGTAGTTAAAATGGTAAACGTTGTTATGTGTTATTTTACCATTAAAGAAAATCACAACCTGCCACATTCCTGCTTAACACATTTTTTTTATTTAAATCAGTTTTATTTAAGAATTTCCAACATTGACAACTCTTATAAAAAGCATCCAAGCACACGACACAGCTGCTTAACACATTGAATGGCTTCACTTTGTGACTGCAATAAAGTCCCATCCTTGCCACTTTACCCCAGATAGGTGGCCTTGGGCAAAAAAACCTGTCTGTGCCCAACTGCCCCATCTATAAACTGGGGGCAATGAAGAGAGGTCGCTAAGAGAGATTATCCAAATTGGAGTTCACACACCAGTGCTGGATGCACTACACACGAGGATCTGCAGTGTCATTCGAGCCCCACGTGGGCTGGGGCTGCCTCTGCCTGGTGCTGGCCCTAGATCTTTGCAGGGCCCTCATCTTCCTCATCTTTCAGCTCAGTGTCGCTGCCTGAAGGAAGTTTTCCCAGGCTGCCCAGACCAAGGCCTCCTCCTCCCTCTCTCTCGGATTGCCTCCTTTCTTTACTTTGCGTGTCCTAGCACAAGAGCCTTAAGTCCTGCGAAGGCAGGGCTGAACCTGTTCCCTCTGGGGACCCCAGGGTGCGGCAAGGTCCCTGACACGAAGGGGTAATTAGTGATATGCAATGTCCACACGGGCACTGAGGTCAGTTCTGGGCCGACCCGGCCAGCTCCCAAGCGGGTCCCTCGGGCCTCATCCCTCCCAGGGCTGCAGGGGTGAGCCGCTCCTCTGGGAGTGGGTGACGCTGCCGCACCACTTTGCCCCGGCCTCCTAAGCTGGGGCTCCTCATCTGCCCCGCCGCCCTGACCCACAGGCCACGGCATGACAAGGTCAGCCTCCTAGCTAGGGCCGCAGTCACTAAGCTTGAGGAGGCTCGCCCACCTAGGACCCCGGCCGGACACGTGGCCCGACGTCAGCCCGGAAACCACCAGCCGGGCAGAGAGACCTGCCCAGCTGTCTGCTGCTTACCCCAGGCCCACGTGCAGCCCAGCGCAAGCCGCGGCGCACATGCACTTCCGGCAGCGGTGCACCATGGGACTTGCAGTTCGCGGTAAAAGGATGCGTCCTGGGCGTGGCGGCCGCGCTGCATGTTGGGAGCTATAGGCGCCGCGAGTCATGCTGGGGGCGCTAGGCGCTGAAGGGAGATGAAGTCCCCCTGGGCTCGCTACGTCCGTCGCCCGACAGGTTCTGGAGGACATTAGCCCCGTGCTGTAGGAGAAAACGGTCCCGGAACCGCCCTTCGCCTTTACTGGGCGACCCCCGGACTTAGACAGGACAATGGCTTCCCCGCGTCCTCATTGGCTGAGCGTCCCGTTGCGTCACTCGGAGGCGCCCCCGTGCGCCGCCGCGCCCGAGTCCCAGAGGCTTCTGGGTAGCGGTTTACCCCCGCCCCCTGCGTCTGCGCCTTCCTTTCCCTCCCTGCCGCCGCCGAGGTCGCACGCGTGAGGCCTCTCCGCCGCCGAGTGAGTGGGGCGGCCGGGCCGTGGGTGCCGGGGCCGTGGGGGTGGGAACGGTCCGCGGGGCGGGTGGCCTCGCCAGGGCGGGGGCCTCCGGGGTGAGCCTCGCGCGGCCTCGTTCGGCCGGCGCGGCGACCCCGGGGTCGGGTGGCGGGAGGCCGCGGGGGTAACGCCGCCGCCGCGCGCTCTCCGCCCGCCGCAGGATGCGCTACGTGGCTTCCTACCTGCTGGCTGCCCTCGGGGGCAACTCCTCCCCCAGCGCCAAGGACATCAAGAAGATCCTGGACAGCGTCGGCATCGAGGCGGACGACGACCGGCTCAACAAGGTAGCTGCCCCCGCGGGCCCGGGGGCCTGGCTGCTGCCTGATCCGGTTTTCCGCCCGGGCAGCGCAGTGAACGTGCTGCAGAGTTTGGGAAGCGGCTTGTGTCCGTCTGGGTAGCCAAGAAAGGAGAAGGGCACGGGGGAGGCAAAGCCCGGACCAGCACAGTTGAGAAGCTTAATGGAGGCGGGTTGTATAACATAAAACAAGTAAGAAAAGGCAAAGTCTGCTTCAACTTCATGCAGCTTGTATGAAACAACTTTTTTTGTGTGTTTGTTTCTTGAGTCAAGATCTGGTTTTGTCTGCCAGGCTAGAGTGCAGTGGCCTCATCACATCTCACTGCAGCCTTAAACTCCTGGACTTAGGCGATCCTCCTACCTCAGCCTTCCGAGTAGCTGGGATTACAAGGCCTATGCCACTACGCCCAGCTAAGTCTTTGTTGTCGTTAGATACGGGATCCAACTATGCTTGCGCAGGCTGGTCACTAAAATGCTGTTTTAGTGTCTGGTCAATATAAGTAACAAAATGTTTTGTATTTTTTTTGTTAGTATTGTGTCTTAGAATTCTAGTGTCTAGTTTGCACCTACAGCATATATTACCTGAAAAGAGTCACATGCAGCTAATACCATGTTTCCCCGATAATAATACAGGGTGTTATATTTTTCCTCAAGAAGACACCCTAGGCCGGGCGCAGTGGCTCACGCCTGTAATCCTAGCACTTTGGGAGGCCGAGGCGGGCGGATTGCTCCAGATCAGGAGTTTGAAACCAGCCTGAGCAAGAGCGAGACCCCGTCTCTACTATAAATAGAAAGAAATTAATTGGCCAACTAATATATATAGAAAAGAATTAGCCGGGCATGGTGATACATGCCTGTAGTCCCAGCTACTTGGGAGGCTCAGGCAGGAGGATTGCTTGAGCCCAGGAGTTTGAGGTTGCTGTGAGCTAGGCTGACGCCACGGCACTCACTCTAGCCTGTGCAACAAAGCAAGACTCTGTCTCAAAAAAAAAAAAAAAAAAGACACCCTAGGGCTTATTTTCAGGGGATGTGCTATTTTTTTTAGTACAGTACAACAATCTACATTTATTCAAATTCAGTTAAGTTATCTTCTTCTGGAATATCATCATAACTTTCCAAACCCTGAATTCATTCCTGAATTTCTTGCGACTCTATTTCCTTTAGAACCATTGGCCCCAATCTCTCATATCGAGCAATAGAGCTCTCATGGGGCAGATGAGAAGGGCTGCTGGTCGTCTTTTCCGCTCCTTGACGAAATGCATGGGTTGTGCACATACGCTATGTAGCCACATCCATCACTGAGTCTTATTTTTGGAGTAGGGCTTCTATTTCGCAAATGTTTAGAAATCCTATTAGGGCTTATTTTATGGGTAGGTTTTATTTCCCGGGAAACACAGTAGTTACCTGTTGGTTTAAGGCTGGGCGCCGTGGCTCACGCCTGTAATCCTAGCACTCTGGGAGGCCGAGGCGGGCGGATTGCTCCAGATCAGGAGTTTGAAACCAGCCTGAGCAAGAGCGAGACCCCATCTCTACTATAAATAGAAAGAAATTATTTGGTCAACTAATATACGATAGAGAATAGCCAGGCATAGGGCGCATCTGTAGTCACGCTACTTGGAAGCTGAGAGCCAGGATTGCTAACCCTGGAGTCTGAGGTTGCTGTGAGCTAGGCTGACGCCATGCGGCACCTCACTCTAGCCTGGGCAAAAAGCTGCACGCCATCGTCCTCAAAAAAAAAAAAAAAGAAACCCAGAGCATTTTTCCATGTAGTACTCCTACCCTAGCTCTAGAAGACGGGTCATGGCCAGGGATGCAGTTGCATATCTCTGGTAACTGCTGGCTGTGGTTGTGTCTTCCAGGTCATCAGTGAGCTGAATGGGAAAAACATTGAAGATGTCATTGCCCAGGGTGAGTTTATTCGGAGAGGATGTTCATTTTCATGGTCCATCCTAATCCCTGCTGGCCCCCTGTGGCCTGCCAGGTTTCGCTTGTGGACTAGAGCACCCTAGAAGCTTCACCCAGAGAGTGAGCAGAGCTTCAGCTAGCTCATGTCACGGATGCTTCTAGACATTAGGAGCAGGACAGCAGGGGGTGCCTTGCACTTTGACTCCACCTGCTGGCGGCCCTACCTCTTGTGCCTGACTGCTCCTAGCCCTGAGTCCTTTCCCCCAGGATTTCTCTGAAACTTGGCATCTGTACAACTGGGCTTTTGTCAACAATTCTCACCACGGTGTTTCCGTGAAGGGGCGGGACTGAGGGTGTCAGGGATGGCCACAGGCTTCTGCTCCCTTCACTGGGCAGATGGTTTTCTGTTGGCATCAGGCTGGAGCTGATGGGACTTGTTTGTAAGTTGAGCTGTTTGGGACGCCACTCCTGTCCCTGTGCATGTGACCTGGCAAGGCCAACTCAGCAAACAGCCCGTTCCATGAGCTCATCGCTATGGCCAGAGATCTGGGTGCTGGGGCAGCAGACTGGTGCCCTGCCTGGTTAGAAACATGTTTGTGTCCCCTTACCTCCAGGGTAAGGGAGCAGAATTCCTAGAAGGCAAGTTTTAGGTAGAAAAATTGCTTTGGCTAGACAGGGTAGGGGCATAGAGAATTGTCAGGCTGTGAGTGTGAAGAGGGCTCTGGGTGTGGGGCATGGGGAGTGACATCCTGAGTTCTGGAAGAAGGGAGCTCTCAGTGGCACTGTATGACGGGGCCCGGATGTGTTGGCTTCACTGTGCCGTGCCTGGTGCAGTCTGGTTTCCCCAGGTCTCTGCAGCCTTTGGAGCAACCTTCCAGACCGGGCACCTGCTCTGCTCTCACCTTCCCCCTCCTTACGCAGGTATTGGCAAGCTTGCCAGCGTGCCCGCTGGTGGGGCTGTGGCCGTCTCTGCTGCCCCAGGTGCTGCAGCTCCTGCTGCTGGTTCCGCCCCCGCTGCAGGTGAGTGGAGGCCTGTGAAGGGCCTGAGGCTCAGACCAGGTCCCCACTGCGGTGTCCCTGGGAGGCTGTCCCTGGCCGTGGGCTGTGCTCACTGTGCTCTCCACTTTTCCACAGCAGAGGAAAAGAAAGACGAGAAGAAGGAGGAGTCCGAAGAATCAGATGACGACATGGGATTTGGCCTATTTGATTAAATTCCTGCTCCCCTGCAAATAAAGCCTTTTTATGTATCCCTTGAGTGTCACGAGAGCATTTTGTCAGAGTCTGGCCTCTGCCACTGCCACAGCCCAGGTTCCGTCACGGGGCAGGTGTGGGGCTGCAGTGGGCTGCGAGGTCGGTGGGGAAGGGGTTACTAGGCAGAGTGAGCATGAATCAGGGAGTCTGGTCTCACAGCTGCCTGAGGCCACTTCCTTGGGTCTTGAGCAGTTTCCTGGGTTGGGGGGACACCCAGGAAAACTTTCTTCAAAAGTGTGGACAGCAGAGAAGCTGATGTGGAGTGGAGTATCTGGGTGATGTCCAGGGCTCTGCTGTGAGGGTCTTGGTGCCTGGCCAAGGCCAGGGCTGGTGGCCTCTTGGTTTTGCAGATGGAGGCAGGCCCTGGGCCTAGCTTGGGGATTGGGGTGTGTCCCTGGGTTTCTCTGCAGTGCTCACAACTCCATCTTAACGCCTTGAGCTACGTGGGCCGTCACTTCTAGGGCCTGTATTCCCTGCAGTCCATGAGCCAGCCCCTTCCTTGTTGGGCACATGTGGATGGGGCTATGGGCCCTGGGTGGCCTGGAATGTGCTGAGGGCAGAGGCTGCCTCCACCCCCAGGAGATGATCTGCCTCTCCCTTTGCTCAGCATCCTGTTGTCTGGCTGTGTGAGTTGTGCCAGGCCTGCTGGGAGCTGGGGGCGTTGCGGTGGCTTGCCATAGTTGCTGGGAGATGGTTAGGTGATGAGAAGCGCTGAAGATAGCAGGGTGGCTCCAGGCAGACCTCAGGCCACAGCCAAGGCCTGGAGGGGGCAGAAGCCTTGGAAGAAAGTGCTCATGGGGTATTGGAGAGCAGCGGGGAGCCACACAGTCCTGAGATGAGGGGCATCTGGACTGTTAAGCCTCTGGGCGGGGCATAGTGGCTCACACCTGTAATCCTAGCAATTTTAGAGGTCGAGGCAGGAGGATCACTTGAGGCCAGGAGTTAAAGAGCAGCCTGAATGAGCGAGATTAGCCTTTGGCCAGATATTAGCCAGGTGTGGTGGCACCTGCAGTTAGGGGGATCACTTGAGCCCAGGAAGCCCAGAAGTTTGAGGTTTCAGCAAGCTATGATGACGCCACTGCACTCTAGCCTGGGTGACAGGGAGACCCTGGTTGTCCACAGGAGCAGAGAGAAGGGTGGGAGGAAAGCCAGGTGAGGTGTGGAGGAGACTAGAGCCAGGGTGTGTGTGTTGGGGGGAGGTTGCTGGGAATGGGGGAGAAGAGAAAAGACCAAGGCAGGGCCCCAGCTCTGCATGCAGTGTGTGCCTCAGGGCTGGGGTAAGGCGGGCTGTTGACACCCCAGGCTTGGGCAGGGGCCCTCAGAAGGGTGGACCCAGGCTTCAGAGTAGAGCTCACAATTCCAGGCTGAGACCCTAAAGGGAGGGGCCTGATGCTGTGGGGGAGGGGAGGACTTCTTGGGCTGCCAGTGGCCTTCCTGCTTATGGGGGGAGGCCCAGCCCCAGCCAGGATTCCAGGAAGGAGAGCTTTGTTCCTGGCACCCCAGCCTCCCAGGGGCCTGGAGGGACTAATATGTACCCAAAACAGCTGTGGAAATGGGGGCAGAGGTTTCTTTGCACTGGGGCAGCCACCAGCCAAGGCACAACAGTCCCTCAGATGGGGGGAGGGCCTGCACCCTGGCCCTTCCTGGACCTCTCCTTGGGGCAGGGTGCACGAGGACCTTCCTGAGTCGCTGGCTTCCCCCTCAGTGCTCACTCCGTTGAGCCCCTGGACTTCCCAGGATGGCCTAGGGGGTCTGCCCCACGCCCACTGTGCAGCACCCAAGAGTCTAGTCACCAGGGTCTCCTGACACCCCAATCACGCCAATCCAGCTGTACCCTCCGTGCCACCCCAGCCCTCCTTCCCTGCTGCCCAGTGAATTTGCTGCACTGTACCTGCATCCAGAGCATTTTGCCGTGTCCCACGGGCACAGAGAAGGAGTCTAAGTAAATTCAGTCCCACTGCCCAGCTCCACCCTCTCCCTCTGACCTGGCCCCAGCTCCCCTCCCCTTGGTCCCCCACCCTGGGGACTTCCATGTGCTGTTGGCTGCCTGGGCAGCCCTATGACCTTGTCAGAGCTCAATTCAGCGGCAGCTCCCCAGGGAAGCCCCCCAGAATCTCTGCGGTGCCCATACACTCGGTTACCTCCTCCTCTCACTCCTCATTTTGAGCTTGTGTAGACAATGCCCGCCGGCCCCTAGTAGGGCAGGTCTGGGTTGACCTTAATCCACTCTGTGGGATGGCTGGGAGCACGGGGTGGGGGTGGGGAGGACTGGATAGCATGACCCCAGAGGGCCCTGTCCTGGGGAGGTCCTGGCCTGACTTCTTGGACTGAGCCTGGGTGGGGGACAGCCCCAAGCCCTAGACCCTTTGCTGCGCTCACACCAGCTGGGGCCTGAACTCACCTCCCGCCTGGGACACGCTGCCTCCCGCCACCCCGACCTGGGCAGACCCCTCGTTGGAGGGGTGCAGTGAGGTACAGGGCTAGATCCTGGATCCAAACCAAGCCTGGCCTGCTCCACAGTAGGCGAAAAATGCGGAAAAGGGGAGGAGGGTGACATCACCCGAGCGCGCTCCACCTCCCGGGGCAATTAGCGGGGGCGGGGCGCCCCAGTCGACCCAGATAGACCCCGCAGCGCGAGGGGCCAGGGTCAGACCCACCACAGACCTAGGTGACAGGCAGAGAGGTCCCCAAGGGCTGCGGGGGGAGGGGTGGTGGGAGCGGGCCGACGCCTGGACCTTGGGGCGCGGGTCAGTGAAGCTGGGGTCCCCCTGGGAAGGGTTTGTGTGACTCGCATCGGCCTTGGGTGTTTCCAGAGCCCGCAGGTGAACCAGCGGGTCCTGGCGGCCCGAGACCGAGTGGCTGTTGTCGGGTCCTGATCCGCGCTGTCGCTGTGTACCTGCCCCGGGCCATCTCCTCCGGACCCCGGACCGGTGGGTGCGGCGGGCACCCCAGAGGGAGGGACAGCGGGTGCCCCAATCCGTACGAGGCACCCCAGGCTCCGGGCCAGGGTCGTCCCTCCGCACCCCAGGCCGCCGCGGGGAGGCCGGGGGGTGGGGCGCGCGGCGGCGGGGCGGCAGGTGTCGCGGCCCCCGGGCGGAAGGGGCGGGCGGGCGGGGCCCGTGAGGGGCGGGGCCAGCGGGGCGGGGCCCCAAGGGCGCGGCCGTTCCCCGCGCGCCCCGATTGGTCCTCGCGGCCCGGCCCGGCCCCGCCCCGCCGCTCGCCCCACACTAAAGGCGCCGCCTCCGCCGCGGCCCCGCAGCGTCTCCGCCCAGCCGGCGGGGACTCGGAGCTAGACTCGCGCAGGACCCGCGGCTCGCAGAGCCGGAACGGACCCCGGCGCCGCCGCCGCGATGTTCCCCCGGGAGACGACGTGGAACATCTCGTTCGCGGGCTGCGGCTTCCTCGGCGTGTACCACATCGGCGTGGCCTCCTGCCTCCGCGAGCACGCGCCCTTCCTGGTGGCCAACGCCACGCACATCTACGGCGCCTCGGCCGGGGCGCTCACGGCCACGGCGCTGGTCACCGGGGCCTGCCTGGGTGAGCGGGCCGGGGGCCGGGCGGGCGGGGAGTGCGGGGCGCCGTGGGGTGCGGGGCGCCGTGGGGACGGGTCTGCGTCTGCCCCGGGACCCCGGCCGAGGCTCCGGGCCGGCGCGCTGGCCCGGGGGCGGGACCAGGTTTGTTTTGCTCCGAGAGTGCCCACGGGGTCGGGCCCGGCGCGCTGCAGAGGCCGCGGCTGCCGCCCAGGGCCCGCCTCTTGGGCGCAGAGGTCGGGGGGCGGGCAGGTGCGGCAGAAGCTGTTTCATTGGAAAGCGAAAGTCGCTCATGGGCGGGACCGTGAGAGTCGGAGGAGGGACCTAGGCCGCCCCTGTCACCCTCGACATCCGACTGGGTGCCAGCGGTCACTGTGTCCCGGGGCTCCGCGTCCCGGGCGGCCATCCCAGGGGCCCTGGTATGGGGGTGGCCTCCGAGGGGCGCGTGGGCACTGTGGCTTAGTCCCCCCGCCCAGGGGCCCTGGAGAAGGGCCTGGCTCCCCAGCCGTGGGCCATGATGGGGTAGGGAGCGTCAGGACTCTGCAGCTGGGGTTCCTGGGCCTGTGCGCTGGGCCGGGCCTCCCCGTTCACACACCCCCAGCTGCCACGTGGGGGAGATGTTTACAGCACACAGAGCGCTCGCGGCGTCCTGGGAACTGCTGCCCAGCCCTCTGCCCTGAGGGCAGCCAGGGTGACAGCGGTGTCCTGCTCAGCAGGAGCCTGTCCAGGGTTCACCCCAGCCCCCTTCCCACGACCTTTGTTCCAGGTGGGGGTGCAAGGAGTGCAGCTCTAAGTGTCAGGACCTGGAGGGGGCGGCGGGGAGGGTTCACGCCTGTGGCTCACCCCTTCCCTCACAGAGGCCTTGGCCGGTGCCTCTCACCCACCTGCTGGCCTCAGGACATACCTAGGTCCCTGGCACCTGCGTGGAAGGCACTACTCCCATGGGGCCTCCCTGACTCCACTCCCAGCAAGGCTCCTTCTCCAGGGGTCTCGGGCAGCTGGAGCGCCCACGTTGGCAGGTGTTGGCTGAGGAGAGCCCCTCGCCCAACATTGCCCCACTCGGGGCCAGGGTGGTGGTCCCAGAGGAGGGCGTGGTCCTTAGCTCCTCTCCTGGGTGCCATGACCGCTCCTGGGGGTGGCTCTGCTCTGGTGTTGTCCTGGGCAGCACCCGTGGGTCCCCAAGAGGAGGGTTGTGGGAGCTGGCTCTGGGCTGCAGTGGGACCCAGGTGTGTCTCCCAGGTGGTGGCCCCCACTGCTTCCGGCTCAGTGCTCCCACCTGTGCGGCTGGGCTGGGCCGGACCCCAATCCCTGGGCACCCTCCGAGGGAAACAAACCTGGTCCCACCCCCGGATCTCGCCAAGTGGGTGAAAGCTGAGGCCAGTCAGAGTTGAGCCTCTGCCTACCCCCTCCTCGGCTGGATGCCACGCCAGGCCCAGTGACTCATGGGGACAGGCAGTTGGGAAATACAG